GCCTCATGTGGAGAAAGGCTAAGATTGGGTAGAAACATAGATGAAGCAGAGTCCTAGTGAGATTCAGGTCTCTGGTTTCACATACTCTTGAGCCTGGCTGTACTTCTCTCCTTGTCATGCTGACATGAGCTTTCTAATAAGTTCTTTTCACCTAAACTCTCAGATTGAGTCTCTGTCTGTATGACTAAGAGATCTGGTTAACACAGCTTTGGAGCTTCAAAGGATCTATGCACTGGAATGTTTCTTACCCTCAAAGCTGGGAAAGAGTATAACAGTTTCTTTTTAGTCATGTTGGGAACAATCAAATTTCTAGGAAACTCTCAAACTGGTAATGGGTCAATAAATTACCTTTCCAAAGGGAAAATGCACAAAGTTTCTTTTTAAAATCTATATTTAAACAAAAAAGACATCTAGGAAGTGGTGTAATGCTAAGGAATACCCAAACAATCAGGGAATGAATGAGTAAAGTGTGATCATGAACAACCTGAAGTACTACCTACTAATTAAAAGTGAAAATTTTATGATGACTAAGAAAACTCATAAAATGTTTGATCCTCTGGAGAGAAAAGGCAAAATATATAAAAACATTACAAATGATTACAACTATACATATCTAACTCATAGCTCTAGAAGGTAATGGATGTCTTGGCTACCCCAGCAGCCGGGCACCATATTAAAGGAGTGCCCATTATGCAGGTGCTCACTTTCTGCCCCAGCCTAGTCTTGAAGTAGCTGAGGCTTTTGGCTTCTCACGCCCGATTCTTCACATATCCAAGCACTAGCTGTGCTATTTCTGTTTCTGGCCTCGTCTTGCAGTCTTTTATCTTTTTTAGACCTGACTTATAGCCTGTCTTGATTTATCAGCCTCGATTTCCCCCGCTTCAACCCGCCATTTGGGAAAACGTTCTGCACTGTCGTATCCCACCTGAATGCGTCAGGTCTCACAGGCAGAGTCCTCAAAATATATGCCATTGGAACTTAGTATGCTAGGGTTCTAGGATACTGGGGAGTATTTCTTTTTTTCATCTTTCCAAACTGTCGTTGTTCCAGCACCATTGCAGTAAACATTTTAAAAGACTTAATAACAATAAGCTTTTTCTCATCTCCACCAGGAGTGGCATCTACTGTTGATTCTGTAGAACTGCATTTTTCAGCCTCAAAAAAAAACAGATGTGCTGATTATTTCACTAGCAGTTTTGTGTTTGTAACATAGCAGGACAGTATATGAATGCCAGGCGTTAGCCTACCTGGGAGCAGAAGCCACTTCATGGAGTTAGCTGGTCCAGAAATTGTATGGACCCTATAGAATTAGACTCCTGGGCTCGTACTTAATTCCCCATGGGATTCCAGGTTTATTTCCTAATACTGGATCCACTCTGAAAAGCAATTCTTAGACAGTGAGCATTTGCACCTACTGCAGAATCTTGACATCTTTGGACGTTGTAGGGTGTCTTACACATTTTCACCACTTACTCATTTCCTCGGGCTGCCTTAACAAAGTACCACAAACGAAGTGGCTTAAAGAACAAAAATGTATTATCTCAGTTTGGGATGCTAGAAGTCCAAGATCAAGGTGTTGCCAGGGCTGGTTCCTTCTGAGGGAAGTGAGGAAGAATCTGTTCGTCACCTCTCCCCTAACTTCTGGTGATTTGCTGCAATGTTTGGCGTTCCTTGACTTGTAGCAGCATCACCTCCATCTTCATCTTCAAGTGGCGTTCTCCCTGTATGGCAGTCTGTCTCTGAATTTCTCCTTTTTATAAGTATACCAGTCGTCTTGGATTAGGGCCCACCCTAATACCCTCAACTTATAACATTGCAGTGAACCTATTTCCAAATAAAGTCACATTCTGAGGTACTAGGTGTTAACAGTTCACCATGTGAACTTTGGGGGAACAGAACTGAACCCATAATAACCACCTATCTCATTATACCTCTAGGCTTCATTTCTGCCATGTCGATGTCAGGCTTAGCCATGGAATTGCTCAATGTGAGTAGAAGTGAGGTGTGTACAACTAAGCAGAAACTTTTAAGAATTTTTTTCCCTCTACTATGAAACTGGCAGTGCTCCAGATAAGGCAGTTTCATCAGTCTATGTCTCAGAGTGACAGTGACATGGAACACAGCAGCAGCTGACCTTCAGTGGATGTGTAGCATGAAAAAGAAAGAAACTTTTATGATTTTAAGCTGCCAATATTTTAGGGTCATTTGCTGTTGAAGCATAAAGTAACTCAAGCTGACTGAAACAATAAGTACCTCACATAACTTAAGCTAATTAACACCATAACTTCATTCCTAATGTGTGTGGTTTTTTCACTTATTCATCAGATGTTTGTTGAAAACTTGCCATGTGCTAGACGTAATACTCTGTGTTACTCTGCAATGGTTAATTTTATGTGTCAACTTGGCTAGGCCATGATACCCAGATACTTGGTCAAACACCAGTTTAGATGTCCCTGTGAAGGTATTTTTCAGATGAGATTAACGTTTAAATCAGTAGACTTTAAGCAAATTACCCTCCGTAATGTGGGTAGGCCTGATCCAATCAGTTGAAGGCCTTAAGAGACTGAGGTTCCCCCAGGAAGAGGGAATTCTGCCTCCAGACTGCCTTCAGACTCAAGCTGCAGCATCAGCTCTTCCGTGGGTCTCCAGCCTACTGGACAGCTCTGCAGATCTTGAAATGCCAGCCCGTGTAAATCGCAGGAGCCAATTCCTTAAAATATATCAGTGTGTGTATATATATATGAATACATTTTATTATATATAATATATAAATATTATATATACACATACACATCCTGTTGGTTCTGTTTCTGTGGAGAAACCCGATTACTAGAGACACAGATCAGTGAACAAACTAGACAAAGTCCTCATAGAGCTTATGGTCTAAGGGAGGATACAGACAAACAGAGAAATTACAATGATGTGGAGTAAATACTGGAAAGTATTACATGTAATAGGAGCACATAGGAAGGAGGAGCACCGAACTCTGTCATGGGGAATCAGAGAAGGCTTTCTGGAGGAAACAGGGCTAACTTGAGAACTGCAGGTGGCAGGTGGACTAGGGGTTAGCCAAGGCCTGGGACAGGGTGGTGGGGACCAGGGATTAGACTGAGTAGAGAACATGCATTGTCAACAGGGGCGGTGTTGCCCCCAAGGGGGAGAAAATTGTGCTTGGCAGGTGAAATGAACCTTAACTTTACAATGTTCTGTGACTATGCAGAGCTCAACTTTATCTGACAAAATTTTATCCTGTAATATTTAATGGGGGATGATTAGGGAAAAAGTCTACAATGTCTCCTTGGGGGGCAGTGATGAAAAAGAGGTTGAGAAACATGGGTAAAGAAAGACCACTAAGGTAGAGGGAATGATCACGTGTGAAGCTACAGAAATGAGAGGGAGCATGGAGTATTGGGAATAGTAGAATGTTTGAGGCACAGTGTTGGGAGGGAGCAGAGGCAGGGAGAGTACCGAGAGAAGAGGCTCTTCTAGACACAAATTTTAAAATTACATCTGAAAATGCATTGTGACCTCAATTATCTAAGTACTTTAAGTAAACTTGGATTGGATGTCTAAATTCTTGACTGCAGACTGTGCTCACCTTTTTGTATATGAATCTGTTCTTTGTGTTTTTAGTCACATATGAATGAATCATTAAGTTTTTAACATTTTTCTAGAGATGGCAAAGGAACAATTGGTAAAATATCTTTTTTCTGTCTGTCATTCTGGGACTTTTCAGTTTTATAATTGTGGTCTCTGGAATAGCATTGTGTTCAGGTGGGCATTAATCCTAATGCTGTTCTGGAAGCACATTCACCTCTGGGGAATTTGAATGTGATTCACTTTACTGGAGTTTTAAAGATTAAAAATATGAGAGCAAAATGGTGTTTTTCTTGATTCCATTATGGGTAATAGAATGAGAACAATGGTCTATTTTGTAGCCATTATCATTATCTTCCTCCCAGATTAAATTAAAATGACTTTAATATTCTATTAGGAAATCTTTACAAAAATGCTGCCGATCATTTTCTTTATTTCCAGCAGCTTGTTAACAATGAACTTGAAGCGAATTCAATGCTTTTGAGAAATAGTATGAACTTTATTTTGGATTCTAAAGAACTAAAAAATTGTATACTGTACCATAATTTTAACTTTTAATGCTTTTCTACCACAGCCCTGGCTTGCTTGATATAATTAGACCTGATCTAAATGTCTAACATACTTATTTAAGAGGCAGCCTTTCAATAATATTTTTTAGAAGGGCTATATGGAAATAGTTCTGAGTATGTGTTCTGGAGTCAGACTGCCTGGGTTCAAATCCTGAGTTGAATCTATTGGGTTTAAATGTTACTACTTTGTAAACTTGGGCAGATCTGTAACATTATGCTATCTTATCCTCTCTGTCCCTCACTTTCCTCAGATGAAAATTATGGCTAAAATAGAACCACTGCAGAGGGTGGCGTGAACATTAAGTGGGTTATGTAAACACTTAGAACAGTGCCTGGTACATTCTCAGTACTCATTAATGTTAGCTGTATTATTATTTGGAACCCCTTATTGAGTAGTTTTAAAACCATTTGTTGAGTGCTTCCTGTATGGCATCCAAGGGATTCACTTGTGAACTGTTCAGCATCTTACCTAAAGTGATCTTCAGAGCACAATTCAAGATATTTTTTTCAAACTGACATTTTTTTAGTATCATTATTGTTTTCTCTAGTGCCTTTGAGGCCTTTACACTGATTTATTTTTTAGTCTGGGATGACATTTTTGTTCTTATGTGAGAAGATAAACATCTAAAGTTTGTAAGAAAAAGCCTCCTTAGGGCAGTCGGTGGGAGATGAATTCTTCTACAGAATTTTGTACTGGAGTCTGGAATTTGCCTCTATGGTACTGCTTTTTCCATGGTGACAATAAGGAAAGGGAAGCATTACCCAAGGTTTTCTGGCATTTTTGTATTTTGATTAAAGAGATTTATAGGCCCTTTCAATATTTATGTCTTTCAGAAAATGTCTTCGAAATTCAAAAATGCAAAACGAATAGAAGGCCTTGATAGTAATGTGTGGTGAGTACCTTAGGATAAGCAATAATAATTTGGTGAGGTTTTCTTCCTACACATTTTTTATATCCTTAGTTGGGAATTTTTAGCCTTTTCTACAGTCTATAAATAAAGGCGCTTAGTTTAATTCATCCATTAAATGGAAATGGAAGGAAGTTAAAAATCTACACACTGATTTATTCCTTTAGCAAATGTGTTGAGCCCTGTGCTAGGCACTGGAAATACGCAGAGAAAAGGACGAATTTGGTTGATGCCCTCATGGAACTTACCTTCTAATCTGTGAACTCTTCTGATCGGCTCTACTCTCTAATGGTTGATAAGAGAACCTAACAACCCATATGGTTGAGGAAAAAAATCTATGATTATAATATGGGCATCATGGAATTGAGATTTGTAAGAAACATTAAGTGCTTTAGTTCAGCCATCATTTTATTAGGTAAAGTCATTTTGTAGATGGTAACATTTTTGTTGAAAACTCATTTTTTTTCATCTGTAAGACCCAACTAGGTCTTATTTTTCAGTTTCGTACTAAGACTATGAGGTCTAAAAAGCTAATTTTGTAATTGTAGTACTTATTAATATTAGTATTTTTTTTATCATAGGATTGAGTTTACCAAGTTGGCTGCAGACCCCTCTGTTGTGAATCTTGGCCAAGGCCTTCCAGATATATCCCTTCCTATGTACATAAAGGAAGAATTGTCAAAGATTGCAACAACGGATAGCCTGAATCAGTACACCCGGGGCTTTGTAAGTATATGAGGCCCCTGTGGGCCATAAGCTTGTATTTTATATTGTGCTGTATGTGAATGTACTGCTGTCACTCCTATGTAATTGACCTTCTGGGACCAGCTGATCCAACCTGATAACCAGTGGAACTTGCCCTTTTCTCCCAGGTTAAGCCATCCTCTACTTCTAGCCCCTCCACTGTCCTGTCTTCATCTTGGCTGTTGTTCTAGGGTGGGGTCCTATGGACACAAGGGAGGGAGAATATTCTCTGGAATCGTGTGTTTTCTCTCCCATTAACACTTATGCAGCCTCAGCACTTGCCTCTTAATTATTCTCCTCTATTTCCAACTGGTTACAGTTGGCCCTCCATATCCACACTTCTGCATCCGCAGAGTCAGCCGTCCACAGATGGAAAGACCTATGCTGGCTGTGTCTGTACTGAACGTGTACAGACTTTTTTTTCTTGTGATTATTCCCTAAACAATACAGTATAACAACGATTTCCATAGCATTTGCACTGTATGGATATTATAAGTAATCTAGAGATGATTTAAACTATAGGGGAGGATATGTGTAGGTTATATGCAAATACTACCCCATTTTATATTAGGGACTTGATCACGTGAGGATTTTGGTATCCCGGAAAGGTCCTGGAACCAATCTCCCTCAGATACTGAGGGAGGACTGTACTTTCTTTCTCTCCACCTCAGCCCAACCCCCATCCTTCTATGATGAAATGCCTAGGATATCCAGAAATTTCCTAGATTCTACAAAAAAACTACCCCAACTTAGTGAATTGAGCAAGGTTGCAGGACACAAGCCAGTATTCAAAAATCAATTATATTTTTATATACATGCTAAAAAGTAAAATTTTTTAGAATACCATTTACAATAGCATCCAAAAACATGAAATGTTTAGAACTGAATTTTTTAAATATATACAAGATCTGTACACTGAAAACTACAAAACATTGCTGAGAGGAATTGAACAATACCTAAGTAAATGGAGTGATAGACAAGGTTCATGATTGGGAGACTAATGTTAGTATGTCATTTTCCCCTAAACTGATCTATAGCAGAGTTTGGCAAGCTGTGGCCTCTGGGCCAAAGCTGACCCACCCCTGTATACTGTATAAAATTCTATTCGAACGTAACCATGCCCATTCATTTCCGTGTGTTCCAGTTTTTGTAAATGTATGTGAGTGTGTATGTGTTTTTATGTTGGTATCAGCACGGGGAGTGGTGTTGCACTGTCACCAGGCTGTGGACATTGGTCACCTCAGGGGAATGGGAAAGAAGTGATGTTGAGGAGAGATCATAATTTTTCTTTACAAATCTTTGCCTAGTTTTACGTATTATATGAAGCATGAATTATTTTTGTAATTAAAAAATTTTACAAACACAGACCCTTATTCTAAGGAAAGATGTATAATGTTGATAGTTGCTTTCAGATTACCCTATGCTGGAATTTGTTAGACCTGGTGTGAAAATGAAATTCAAAGGCAATTTTGGATTTCTAGGAGTGGTGACAACCTTCTCTTGCTTTTTCCACGATTCATATATATTTTTTGAGCTTGAATTTAAGTGGTCTTTTCCTTTTGCTGATATTTTTCAGTTTGCTGGCTGTATTCTGTCGCCTCCTCAATTATTGATTGTACCCAGTTTCTTTAATATTATAGTATCTTCTAATTTCAAAATATGAAAAATGAGCTATAGCTTTGTTTTTGTTGATTTTATCTGGGTGAGTGTCTGGGACATACTAGCCAATGTTCTGAAAGGAATAAAAAGGTGACAAATACATGCATCTTTGACACAACGTGCCTCTTTTTCTTCACCTCAACTGGGATGGACAAGTTTGAAGGAACCGAAGGCTCTTTGACCTCACAAACCTGGGGTGTGTCCACCCAGCCTCACTCTTCTGCATCCTAACCTGCTTTATTCCTCCAGAGCCCAATGTGCTTTCCAAACAAAGGCACGTGACCTGCACTTGGACTCTCGCTCACAACTGACAGAAAATCAGAGTGGTTCCTCAAAAGCAAACAGAAGAAATACATGCTGGACAGAAGAAATAATGACTTTGATAACAAATAAGACAGGGAGAGGAAAAGGAAGGAAAAGAAAGAGGAGGGAAGGGTAGAGAACACAGAAGAAGAGAAGAATTGAGGAAGCTAATCAAGGAGTCCTGAGACTCCCCACACGTCTCAGACCTTGTGACTTTACAAGCTCTTGTTCCTCTGGTGAAAGTTCTAGGTAACTGCTGCTCTCTTGGCTGTCAGTGTGAATAACGTTCCACTCCCTCCTACCATGTACTACCACACCAACGCTAATGTGCGCTTCTTTGGTGCATTTGTTTTTGTCCTCTCTCCATAGTCCATTGGTTGCCATAACCTTCCCTTCAGCAACTGGAGGAACCAATTCAGGGGATATGCAGTTAATGAAGGGTTTTTGGCTTATTTTAACTGGGGAAAAAATCCAACTATTCAATATGATTTAATTACTGTCAAAAAATAATCAAATGTGATTTAGTTACTATCAAAAAATATACTGTCAACAAAGAGAACTGATCGGTGGTGGCCAGGGGAAAGGGGGGTGGGGGGAGGGCACTACGGGTGAAGTGGTGTACCTACAACATGACTAATAATGATGTACAACTGTAATTTCACAAGGATGTTAACTTTCATAACCTTAATAAAAAAATATATAAAACCTTCAAAAAAAAAAAACAAAAAAAAATATACTGTCAACAATATATTTGGTATTGAAATCAATTTTTATTCAAAGCAAATACCTTAAAATGTTTTCTTCCAAAACCAGTCGTTAATAGGAAGTTTTTAATCATGAGGAAGTCTTCATGACCATCCAGGGAGGAACCCTCTAAAGGCAGGAAAAAAAATCTTTTAATTTACTGCCTTTTAAAAATACAAGTTTTCTTTGGATAATTATAAAACCCAAACTTTAACAATTCTTACATTTTAGAGCCAAATTACCTTAAGAAGGAGGTCCCATAATCAAATTCAAGGTTTTTTTTCTTCTTTTTTATTCAACAGGGTCATCCATCACTTGTGAAAGCTCTGTCCTGCCTTTATGAAAAACTTTATCAAAATCAAATCAATCCAGATAAAGAAATCCTTGTGACAGTAGGAGCATATGGATCTCTTTTTAATGCCATACACGGATTAATTGATGAGGGAGATGAAGTAAGTATTTTAACATCATGTTACCTGTATTAATCATTATCATTTGTCCTGTCTGAATCTTTTACTTGTTTTATGCTCTTTTTTATTTTGAATTACTTTTGAAGTAGAATGCATATGCAATAAAATTCACAAATCTTAAGTGTACAGCTTGATAAGTTTTTACATGTGTGTATCCATGTAACCACACACCAGGTGAAGATACAGTGCATTTCCAGCACCCCAGAAGGCTCCATTTTGCCCCTTCCTAGCCTACCCTCCCAGAAGTAACCACTCTTTTGTCTCCTGTCACCATAGGTTCATTTGCCTGCTCTTTAACTGGATATAAATAGAATCATACAGTATGTGCTCGAGTCTGTCTTCTTTCGTTTGTCATTATATCTGTGGGAGTTATCCATTTTGTTGTGTGTAGTTCGTTCTTATTTTTATAGCTTATTTAGATAAGGGCAAGTGGAAGGGCTAGCAATGATGGGGAAAATGTATCTTTAGTTTGCACTGCTAGAATAACCTTTCATCTGAACGCATTCATAAGTATTTGGTCAGCGTCTTTTTGTGCCCAGTACTATTGGCAGCACCACGTGGGGGCTGTGTAACAAGAAGGTTGAGTGATTTCTGCTGTTTAGTACTGTGACCCGCTTTGACACGGAGCTCATTCAGCTCTGCCCCTACTTCCCCATTGTCATTCCAGTATCCCTGCTTCACTACTTCCTGACCTCTTTCATTTGTTCAGAAATTACTGAGGATCTCCTAGGTGCTAGGTCCTGTGGGAGAGAAGATTTTTAAAAGACAGTTTCTACCTGGAGGAAGTTCCCTGCCTAGTAGAGGAGACAGACTTGTAAACAGATGAATAGGAATGTGGGGCGATGGTCAACAGTGGAGAGTGTATAAGTTATGGTGGTGGCAAAGGAAAGAAGCGAACCAGTCTGCTAATGTAGGTCTGGACAGCTCCAGAGAGGCATTCTTACACTGGGGCTGAGGAATGAATATTTGTCTATTTTGTGAATTTCTTTCTTTGAATGCTCGTGCATTTTACCTATACCTCTTTTATAACAGATACCCCATTGCTCTGTGTTACGTTATTCTTTTACGTCTCTAGTTCCCTCTACTCTGTCAGACAATGAGCTACTTAAGGAAACGTTTTAAGGAAGTACACTTCTACTGTCATATAGATCCTCTCCTCTAATCCTATAAAGTAGTTGAAAGTCTTCTCTCATCCTTTGGGTGTTAATCCTTTGTTGCGTCCTCCCCCTCTGCTCTCTGTCAGAGACCCCAAGGCTCAGCCCTTGGCCTTCTTTTCTCTAGTCTTTCTTCCCTCATCACCTTATCTAATATTTGGAAACCACACACATGGCACTTTCTATCATACTGACCTATTTTATTTTCTTTGTAACATTTATTGCTATCTGAAATTATCTCATTTACTTCCTTGTTTTCTTTATTATCTCTCTCAGTAGAATGTAAGTTCCAGGAGAACTGATTTATTGCTGTACTGCCAGCATCTAAAATATTGAGTGCACAATAAATACTCTTCAGAAAGAAAGGGGAATTATTCCCATTATAAAAATAAAGAAATTACAGCAAAGAATGCCAAGTATAAGCTTTCAGTTTTACCTCCCTGCCTCCCCAATTTATTTTCCTTTATTGAGCTCTCACTTCATATCAGGCAGTGTGTTTCTCACCAGGGTTGCAAAGAGAGGTCATCTTAGTCCCTAGAGTGTTACAGACTAATTAAGAACTTACAGTCCACTTGACAGAAAGATCCGTTCCTGGTTCATTTCTTTGTCCTCCACGGTACCTAACACCTAACAGCACGTTGTATAGTAGGTACTCAACGTGCCTTGAATGACTAGTACAAACAAAGGGGCTTTAGAATGGAAGGGCCTCATGTGACTCCAGTGAGAAAGGCCTTGAACAAGTATTTCACATCATAAGAAATACAAACAGTAAAAAGTACAAATTTAAAACAATAATTAGGTTTCATTAATTTAACTAACAAAAAGTTAAATGAAGGGCTGGCCCCGTGGCCAAGTGGTTGAGTTCACACGCTCTGCTTCCGCAGAAGCAGAAACCGGGGTTTCGCCGGTTGGACTCCTGGGTGCAGACATGTCACCGCTTGTTGAGCCATGCTGAGGCTGCATCCCACGTGCCACAACTAAAAGGACCCACGACTAAAAATACACAACTATGTACCAGGGGGCTTTGGGAGAAAAAGGGGAAAAAAAAGTTAAATGAGACAACTTAGTGTTGACTTGTGAAAATATAAATTGTTGTCAGGTTTTTCAGAAGCAGTTTGACTATATAAATAGAGTGCCAAAAATATGTTTATACCCTTTAATCTAGTAATAGCAATCATGTCAATTTATTCAGCAAACTGTTTAAAAATGGAGAAGCAACACATACTCACAAAAGAACATAGCATTGTTATTTATGCAAGCAAATGATAAAATTATTCTAGAATTCAGTAGCCTCTCAGCCATTAAAATAATAAATATTAAAACTACAATAATTAGAAATTTTGTGACATATTGCTATGTTTTAAAAAGATAGAAAAATTGAATGTCTCTGATAGTTACAAATTATGTGCTCAGGCTCTCCTTATAGAAAAGCAAAAGGTCTGGGATGCTGGATCTAGGCTGTGGACTGCAGGTGGGATACTGACTGGGCTGGTTAGATTGGCTCACTGACCCAACAGGTCACAAGTGATTGAGAGAGAGCACACAGGGGCAAAGGGACAAGGAGTACATCTCAAGGGACTAGGAAAAAAGACAGAATGCAGTGCTAAGTCACCTGGAGGGAAACTGTGGGTATTGGACAATAACAATAGCATCCCAACTGGTCTCCCAGCATCCATTCTTTGTCTCAGGATTTTTTTTTTTTTTTTTTTGAGGAAGATTAGCCCTGAACTAACATCTGCCTCCAATCCTCCTCTTTTTGCTAAGGAAGACTGGCCCTGAGCTAACATCCATGCCCATCTTCCTCTACTTTATATGTGGGATGCCTACCACAGTATGGCTTTTGCCAGGCGGTGCCATGTCCACACCTGGGATCCGAACCAGCAAACCCCAGGCCACCAAAGCAGAACGTGTGAACTTAACCACTGCGCCACCAGGCTGGCCCCTCAGGATGATTTTAAGAAGAGAAACATCTTTACTCTCAGGATAATACTTATAAATTAGTACTCCATAACAGAGAACATTGCAGTGTTCTCTTCGCTTATAGTCTTGCTTCTGCTGCTATGTGATATTTTATTTTCTAATTTGAAATTTAAAGAAAATCTTAACGTTTTTGACTGGAACGTCCCTTTGAAAATGTGATGAGAGCTATCACCCCTTTCTCCAGAAAAATCTACCTATGCACATATAAAATTTCGCATACAATTTCAAGGGTCTCCACTCAAGCCCATCCGTAGATCTCCCTAAGAGACCAAGGACTCCAGTAACTCTCCGTGGACAAGTTTATCTTCAAGGTCTCTACCACTTGGATGTCAGCTCCTTGAAAGCAAAACCTGCTTTTTTTACTGCTGCATCTCAGTATGTAATATAGTGCCTTGCACATAGTAGGTGCATGATATTTGGGTTTTCTTTTTCTTTTTCTTTTTAAGGTATGCTTTTTGGTGAGGAAAATTGGCCCTGAGCTAACATCTGTTACCAATCTTTCTCTTTTTTTTTTCCTTTTTTTCTCCCCAAAGCCCTGCTACATAGTTATATATCCTAGTTGTAAGTCATTCTAGTTCTTCCATGTGGGATGCCCCCACAGCATGGCTCAATGAGTGATGCTAGGTCTGCACCCAGGATCTGAACTGGCGAACCCCAGGCTGCCGAAGCGGAGCACGCAAACTTAACCACTCCACCACAGAGCCAGCCCCCTGATGTTTGTTAAATGAATTAATGATTGGTATGTTATGTTCATATTTGGCTTTCTTTCAGGTCATAATAATAGTGCCTTTCTATGACTGCTATGAGCCCATGGTGAGAATGGCTGGAGCAACTCCTGTTTTTGTTCCTCTGAGATCTGTAAGTTTGCCAATATGACTCACGTGCTTTAAGAAGTTTTGAAATTACCAATTGCTTTGTCACCAATGAAGTTTCTACTTTGATTACATTTTGGGATTTACTGTATATCTTTCCTGTGACTGAAGGTCATCAACAACTTTAAGAAGACAACTTTTGTTACTTGGTCCTCGTTCGCCATGTGTCTGTTATGTCAGCATCCACACTGCATATAACATCTTTTGTGGTTATATGTCGCCCCCACTGACAGTGAGCACCGCCAGGTCAGAGACCATTTCTGACGCACTTTTACAGCACTGCTTCCCAGTGACAAACAGTGCAGGGTATATGCTGCGTGCTCAGTAAATGCTTGTTGAATTCTGAATGAAGTGATTTTTTTTTTATTCTGCTATTATCTTGAGGAATATGATAAAGTTTACTACCATTGTCTTTTTAAAAATCTTATCAAAATAAGTAATACCCTAAGGTGAATCACAGAATCTTCTATTAGCCTTACAGTATCAGACATGTTAACCATAGTTATCGGTGGCTCCTTTGAAGGAACATAGGCCCTTTAACAGCTGTTACTGTTGATGGAGTTCATTTTTCCATTTAACAGGTGTGAGCATGAGACTCAAGTGCTCTTTGGCACCGAAGGAAGAGCTAAAGCTTAGTAATTTCTGTTTGTTTCCTTTGTTAGTCATTTATTAAGTTACCTTTGCTATGTTTTTCTCTAATTTTTTTTCCTTATTAGGTTATTTATTTGTAAGACAGCAAACATGAATTAATTGAATTAAATCACATCTTCATTCTTCATACTTAGAAACCTGTTGATGGGAGAAAATGGTCTAGTTCTGACTGGACATTAGATCCTCAAGAATTGGCAAGTAAATTTAACTCCAAAACCAAAGCCATTATACTAAATACCCCACATAACCCCTTAGGCAAGGTAAGTGAGTCTTTGATGCCTTTACACAGCCTTCTCACTCATCATTTTCCCACATGTTGAATCATAATTGGCTCTGCTCTTTTGTTTCCTTTAATATGTGTAGGTGTATACCAGAGAGGAGCTCCAAGTAATCGCTGACCTTTGCATCAAATATGACACGCTCTGCATCAGTGATGAGGTTTATGAATGGCTTGTATATGCTGGAAATAAGCATTTAAAAATAGGTACTGATTATTACATAGAGTCACAAATCGAAATGTGTTTGGCATGTGTTGAACAACTGATTGGAAAGGATCCCAGAACAGCTTTAAAGTAGTCTTTGTAATGGGTATCTGTCTATATGAGCACTTAAAAATGGGATTTGAATAAATGACGCCTGAGTGGATTAATGAACGCATTAAAGGACAAATAGTACAAACTTAGGGGAAGAGATTCTGGATCACACTACAAAGCTATGAAACCAGAGAAGTAGTACTTTTGCCTATATCCTTGGGATTTTATCAAGAAACCAGCTATTATTTGGTACATAGGACACAGGGGACTTACTTGTTCCTCAGCTGGACTCTCTCTGCTGAATAAGTTGACAAAATGGCAAGTCAACAGGGAAAGATTATAGGGACAGTAGGCTATTGCTGCTTGGCTCTTGCCTGAGATTTCACCATTACTACCAGGCCATCTCATAAATGCCATGGTGTCTTCTGGATTAATCCATGTTTATCTCAACTATAGGATTATAAACTGGGTACAACCTTGGGCCTTTGCACTTGCCCTTCCCTGCCTGGAAACACTTTTTCCCAAGACATCCACATGGCTCAGTCTCTCACCTTTCTCAGGTCTTTATTCAGAGGTCAGTTTTTATGACCACAGCATTTAAGATAATTACACCTCTCCTTCCAGCTTTTGCTTTGTCCTTTTTCTGTTCTGTTTTGTTTTGTTTTTTATTCTATAGCAAACATCAGGATCAACATACTTTATTTCTAACCTGCAAGAAGGTAGGGATTTTTGTTTGTTTTGGTCTCTTCTGAATCCCCAGTTCCAAGACTGGGATCCTGTACGTGGTAGACAATCAGAAAGTAATTGTTGAATGAATGACTAGGAAGTATGAAAAGGATAAGGGAAGGATAAGTAAAATCACTGTGGTAGGAACCAATAAATAAAAAAATTAGTGCACTTATGTGTAAATAGTTGTTGCGCATATCATAATTACCCCAATGGTACATTAGATATTGTTGTAGAGACACAGGAGAAAGCAAATGCTTGAGGAGGTCAGCAAACAAGTGGGCAAAAGATGGAATTAGGTAGACAGAGAAGTAGAAAGAAAATTCCTATCATATAAACCAGCATGTTCTGAGGCAAGGAGGCATGAAAGACCAAGATACACTTAAGAAAAGTAAGTGGTCTCTAAGATGTGTTGTAGTAACTGGCACAGATGAGGTGGAAAAGTAGAGTGATTCTGAAGGATTTTGGATAGGAGAATGAGGAGTCTAAACTTTATCGAGGAGGTTAGTGGTTCTGAAACTTATTTTAGTGGTAGAGCACCTTGAAGCCATCATGTTCACATCATGAAATAGTCATAGATTGCATTCCATTCTGAAACTAGAAGCAGTTTTTCCTAACAGAAATCCAGTAAGTAGGAGAAGATCACAATTCTGTGCATATTTATCTGTAACCAAGAGCTATTGAAATAAACACATCTGAGTGTTTCTGATTTTGCCATTAATATTCACTTACTAAATGCTCATTTGTTTCCCTCTTGGCAGCATTCAGTATTAGATAAGTGGTAGCACTTACCTTAAATGCTTAAGAAAATTTTGTGGCTTAAGAAGATTTTGTGGAAGAAAACTTAAAATTGATTTTTTTTAAAAAAGTTCTGTGTATTAATTTGATCACCAGACTACCAATGAGCATACTTTGAGTACTACTACTACAGAAGTTTGACAAGGCAGAGGTATTGGTTACATGATTGGGTTTGTTTTATAAAGGTCAGAGCCAGCTACTGGTGAGGATCTTAAGCAAGTCAGATGTCCTGGCAGTGGACATGATACATGGGGGCTGTTTGCAAGTAGAAACTATAACAAAGGCCACTGTGTTTGATAGGGCACAGAGTATAGCATTTGAAGGTGGGAAGGGAACAAGCAAGTATGATTCTAGGATCCTGGCCTGTCCACTCAGCAGTAATGAGGCCCTTAACCAGAGACAGAAGTGTGGAGAGAGGAGGAGCAGATAAGTGGAGAAGAGCTGAGCAAAGGAAATTCCTGCTTCTCATGCTTTAGACTTGCTAAGTTTCAGTGTCTGTGAGAGAGAGAGGAGGAGACATCTGGAGACGTGAAATTACAGGCTTGATACTCAGCATCAAATTATGAGCGGATATATTTTTGCCAGTCATCAAAATTTTGTTAGTATGGTGCTGTCCCTGTGGCCGAGTGGTTAAGTTTGCACGCTCTGCTTCGGTGGCCCAGGGTTTCGCTGGTTCGTATCCTGGGCGCCGACATGGCACCGCTCATCAAGCCACGCTGAGGCAGCTTCCCACATGCCACAACTAGAAGGACCCACAACTAAAAATACAACTATGTACCAGGGGGGTTTGGGGAGAAAAAGGAAAAATAAAACCTTAAAAAAAATTTTTGTTAATAGTGGAACCCATGGAAGAGAATGAATTTTCTCAGGGAGAATGTATAAACAGAGAAGTCCAGAAATTTGCATGGCATGGTGCCTTAACACAGCAAACTGTGGTTATCTGTCAAAATTGCATCAGAGTTCACCTTCACTGTCTTGTTGATGATCTCTGTCTCTGGTCATTTGAACTATCCCCCAATTGAAAATCAGACCAACATGGACAATTACTTGTGTAATTTTTTTATATTAACCAGAGAGGAAGAGGCATCTATCAAATGAAGAAATATTATTTTATATATATTTATGTCTATGTGATATGACTCAAAGCTTTAGAATTTTAGTTAACTCAGTTTAGCAATATTTTTTCCAAAAGCTTACTTTAAATGATCTTGAAATTTATTGTTTAAACCTTTGTTAGTATATTGTTTAAACTTTTAGTTTTATAAGCCTTTCATGATAAAAGTGTAACTGTAGTATTATTTGCTGAAGATATCAAGACACATATTTTTAACTCAGACTTTTTAGTTGTTATAACAGCCCATAAAGTTAAAAGAAGAAAAAATGAATTCAGTATTTCATTATTTAGAGAGTATGAGTCAGTTGCGTGAAAACTTAGATATTCTATCAAATACAGTGGCCTTTGTTACATGAAAGATGCAAAATGGCTATTGCATCAATTTGCAGAGTGTAATAATAGTTCTTTAATATAATACAATGAGGCTTTCTAGCTATACATCATGAAATTAGCATCATCTTCATGTCGCACAGGCAGTTTTTGCTGGTGTCGCACTTTTCGTCATGTCTCTAATTTCTGTCTGACTTCTATTGAAGCCTGTGTCACTTAGGAATAACTGTTACAGCTGTGGCTGATTTAAGGTTCATGGGTCACAAATGAGAAGTGCAAAGACCAGGTGCCTTTCAGATACAACTGCAAGCTAAACTGACAATATACTGGATATGGTTTTGTAAATGCATCAGACCTGCAAAGATTGTTTTTTGGCCTATGCAGTGGTGTGGTCATCCATTTGCATTAATTTCTGTGGCTTTCCAAATCTCTGAGATTGAGAGGATATGAACATCTAGATGTTTTAAAATTACTGAAGTTCCTTTTTGTTGAAATAGTAGAATTTATTCTTATTGGACCAAATTCTTGATTCAAATTATGTCTCCAGATTTCAGTCAACAAAAAGAAAACTCTCCTTTTTATTTATTTATTTATTTTTTTATTAAGATTATGATAGATTACAACCTTGTGAGATTTCAGTTGTACATTATTGTTAGTAATGTTGTGAGTACACCACTTCACCCTTTGTGCCCTCCCCCCACCCCCCCTTTTCCCTGGTAACCACCGATCAGTTCTCCATGTCTATATGTTAACCTCCACCTGTAAGTGGGGTCATATAGAGTTCGTCTTTCTCTGTCTGGCTTATTTCGCTTAACATAATACCCTCAAGGTCCATCCATGTTGATGCAAATGGAACAATTTGGTCCTTTTTTATGGCTGAGTAGTATTCCATTGTGTATATATACCATATCTTCTTTATCCAGTCATCAGGTTCTGGGCATTTAGGTTGGTTCCACATCTTGGCTATTGTGAATAATGCTGCGATGAACATAGGGGTGCACGGGATTCTTGGGATTGCTGATTTCAGGTTCTTAGGGTAGATACCCAGTAGTGGGATGGCTGGGTCATAGGGTATTTCTATTTTTAACTTTTTGAGAGATCTCCATACTGAAGAAAACTCTCCTTTTGTAAGAACTATGTGACAACCATGCTCATTGAGGGCTGAAAACAAAAAACAAAAAACAAAAAAACCTCTTCTAGGAGAGAGATATACTAATACATTGATATTTGGAAAATTAGTATTAAATTCCTTGTAAGTTATTCAGCTGATCAGCTCACTCCTTGAAAAAAGGCATCCACTTTTATATGGTTTAAATAGTCATTAACAAATTATTTAGCTCTCCTTTTAAGTATGGTAATTAGATTTGATATTTTGTGAACAAAACCTACGTTTGACATGTGAATAGTTTTGATTTCCTTCATATGTAACTTTTAGTGAAAACAGGTTAAGATTGTATTAGTTTCTCTGGGTAATTCTTATTTTCAAAGAATTGATTTCTAAATGTTCTTACTAATATGCCTTGCTGACTTTGGACACATGTTATTACCCTGCATTATTCATAGTTTAGATTTTCTCTAGTCAGAAAAGTGGAATATGTGTCATGGTGTTCTTTTGGAATACTTTAGAAAACTAGAAAAGTTTCAAAACTTGAAGGGATGTAATGACTTATATCAAATGTTAGAAAATTCCTTCTTCAAATGGACCCTCTAAATATTTTTTTCATTTATTGTTTTGGTTTTTGGTATGCTTCACAGAGAATACAATTATAATTTGTCTGATTTATATAGTTTTCCTTCCTTTACAAATATTGGCAGGTATTTTGTGATGGACTGAAATTATGTATGCATCCGCTCTGGGAATTTCTTTAGCTACCTTACATTTTAACGAGCACTTAACTTGCTTATGAGCAGCTTACTTTAAGAAAACAGTAGTTTAGGGGGCCAGCCCAGTGGCGCAGCGGTTAAGTTCACACGTTCCACTTCAGGCGGCCCGGGGTTCACTGGTTTACATCCTGGGTCCAGACATGGCGCCACTTGGCAAGCCATGCTGTGGTAGGCGGCCCACATATAAAGTAGAGGAAGATGAGCATGGATGTTAGCTCAGGGCCAGTCTTCCTCAGCAAAAAGAGGAGGATTGGCAGCAGATGTTAGCTCAGGGCTAATCTCCCTCAAAAAAAAAAAAAGAATTTGCCTTTCTTACAAAGTCCGCAGTGATGCTGACATTGCTGGTGTGGGGAACACATTTTAAGAACCATTGCACTAGGAATCCTGTAGAAATGGATTCAGAAAATGGGTAGAGGTGGGCTAAACCGTAGCCAGGACCACACCCAAAACTGTGCTGCAGGATAATTATATTGAACACACAGCTACTACTAACACTGATCGCTGGGTGTCACACGGAACCAGCGTGGAACACTGCCTACTGGCACCTCTGTCACTCCTGCCCCTTGAAATAATTTTGCTACTTAAAATTATTCGATCTATTTACATATTACTTTGGTGTGATATTGCAGTGTTTTAAAGCATTGTAACATTTTCAACTGTGTTTGGGTTAAAGTTACATTATCTTAAAAAAACCTATTGAAATAACTATACTGACTAGACTATAACACATTTACTTTCCTTGAAGTCATGTATCTTTTTTATGTTTCTAGATTATACTGAAAGTAGATTGATTGGAAAGCTTTTTTTTTTTCTTTTTCCTGTTTAGCCACTTTTCCTGGTATGTGGGAGAGAACAATAACAATAGGAAGTGCTGGAAAGACTTTCAGTGTAACTGGCTGGAAGGTAAGATGTGTAAGAATTTAATTGCTTAAAAATAGGTATGTATTTTATTTTTTGTAGAGTTTTTTGTGTTTTAAATGAATTTATATTCAGTTCACAGAAGTTTTTATATGTACTGATTTGGGCTTATTATTTACTCATTCAGCTTTCATGTTGGTCTTTATCCTTTTTGAGACCTAATTATTTCTTTAAAAATAAGAAAAATTAGGTAATCTTTCATTTTATAAGTCATCAACTAATGATACTTTTTTCTTTGAAAAGAATGGTCAGATTAGTGCATATTAATGTAAAGGTAGAAAAAACAGTAATAGCTAATGTTTTGTCACTTGCCATGTGCCAGTCTCTCGGCACTTTATGCCTACTGAGTCCTTTCATTCTCTTCACCACATTATGAGGTGAGTATAATTTATTGTCCCCATTTTACAGAAAATAAAACTAAAGCACAGAGAAGTTAAGTAACTTACCTGAGGTTACACTGCTAATAAATTCCAGCCAGGGCAGGCAGTCCAGTTTCAGAGTCCATGCACGCACGTAACCCTGTACTGTGTAACACAGTAACAGTTTATCCGGTTGAGACTTGGTTAGCTTCCAACCTAACCTCTGTGGAATGTGCCTAAGAAGCAGGGATTATCGGAAATGATGCTGGCAGAACCAAATTATGGAAGAGTCCCTTAGGCCCTCATTCAGAGTTTTGTGGGATTTTTTTGGTCTTGGTTTTGGTTTTTGGTGAGGAGGATTGGCCCTGAGCTAACATCTGTGCCAGTCTTCCTCTGTTTTGTATTTGGGACGACGCTGCCATAGCGTGGCTTGTCAAGCGGTGTGTAGGTCCGTGCCCAGGATCCGAGCCTGTGAACCCTGGGCCACTGAAGTGGAGCATGGGAACTTAACCACTCTACCACTGGGCCAGCCCCTAGAGTTGCTTTTATTTATTTATATCTAATTCAAAAAAGCTTCATTACTGGTTTTTAGACCTCCAAGAATATGCGAAGTAGCAAATATGAGGCATGGGTAAAGATCATGAATGGAGGCACCGTTCACCTTCTGAAGGCAGAGTTTAATGTCTCCAGTTGGAAATTTTTCCACAAAAAGGACAGTGCTGAAGTTATTCTAACTACTCTCAGATTTAGTACATAAAATTAAAGTCATTTTTTGAAATCTGTTTTATCTTTTCCTTTCCCAGCTTGGCTGGTCCATTGGTCCTGATCATTTGATAAAACACTTACAGACAGTTCAGCAAAACACTGTTTATACTTGTGCAACTCCTTTGCAGGTAGGTGTGGCAGTAACTTGCGGTTGGAGCACAGTCCTCTTGGTGAAGGTGCTATTTTTATATTTCATATTTGAATTGGCTTAGTTCTTCCCTTCATGTCTTTCTTCACCAGGCCTTTCTAGTATAGTTTGGGAATTTAGGAGCAGATACATATTCATTGCTATCAAGGATGGTTCACTGGTTTTTTTCATCTGTCAAGATTTAGCTTTGAACATTCATACATTGCTGGTGGGATCACAGAGTATTGTAGACTCTCTGGAGGACAGTGGTAGCACCAAGCAAAGTTACGGATGTGTGTGTCCTACGGAGCAGCAGTCCATCTTCTGGGAATTTGCCCTGTAACTGTTAACTGTACATGTAAGAAGCTCTGTAGGTACTTGGCCATTCATTGCAGAAGATAAGAGATAGTTGTTATTCATCTGCAGACAATCGGTTAAATAAACCATGGTCTGTCCAAACATTTAAATATCATATGACTATATTAGTTTCCTATATCTTTGTAACAAATTACCACAAACTTAGTGGTTTAAAATGACACATTTTTTATCTTATGGTTCTGGAGTTCAGCAATCCAAAATGGGTCTTACAAGGCAAAAAGAAAGGTGTTGGCATTGCTATTCCTTCTGGAGGCTCTAAGCAGAATCCGTTCTTTGTCTTTTCCAGCTTCCAGGGGCTGCTTTGATTCCTTGGCTCATGGTCACATCACTCTAACCTCTACTTCTGTTGACACATATCCTCCTGTGACCCTAACTCTGCTGCCACCTTCTTTCCCTTATAAAGGTCCTTGTGATTGCATTAGGCCCGTGGATAATCCAAGATAATCTCTCCCTCTCAAGATCCTTAACTTAAATCATTTGCAAAGTTCGTTTTACCATGCAAGGTAACATCTTTACCGATTCTGGGTTTTAAGGCATGGACAGCTTTAGGGGCCATTATTCTGTCTATCACCATGGCTGTTTAAAAAGGAAAAAAAAGAAAGGAAAGGAAAAGAATGAGGAAGTACTATAATAATTAATGATATGGAAAGATTTCCAGAATATATTGTAAAGTAAAAGAAGCAAGATATAGGACAGTGTATATTTATGCTATATTCTGTATAAGAAAGGGGGGAAACTGTTTGCTTATATTTTCTTAAAGAATCTCTGGAACGATCCATAAGAAACTAGTAAAAGTGGCTATTTTTAGGAATAAGGGAAATAGGTGAAATTAGTAGATAGGGATGGGATGGGTGCAAAACTTTAATGTGTATCCTTTTTTATATTGTTGCTATTTTAAAAAAATTACAAAACAGGGATCTACGTACTGTCATTCTGTGAATAATCAGAACACTGAAAAAAATGTATTTTTCTGGAAGGCAGTTAAAAGGCTAGAAGAGTGAAATATGTTGACTACAGTAAACTTACCTTTTTGCTTCCTGAAAAATACCTACTGAATGAGAAAAAGTTCTATTTTAAAATTCTTTTTCCAGTGACTCTGTAAAGTAATATCATGATAAAGGCTCATTCTGACATTGTTTTATTATATATTAAACTCATTTCATCCTCTCAAAATAAATCTATTCACTTATTCCACAAATATTTACTGAAGATTGGAGATACAGCAGACAAAAATTCCTGTCCTTGTGGAGCTTATAGCCTAGTAGGGGGACACAGATAATAAGCAAATAAATATTTTAATAATGCAATATGTCAGATTTTGGTAGATGCATTGGAGAAAAATAAAGTAGGGAAGAGGAAGGGTACATAGTGCTAAGTGGGAGAATATACAGTGTTAAATGGAGCGATCTTTGAAAGCCTCACTGAGGAAGGTGACATTTGATCTATGAACTGAAGGAGGTTAAGCAGTCACATGGTTACCTGGAGAAGAACCCTCCAGACTGCGAGAACAACAAGTGCAAAGGTCCTGGGGTAAGCAGCCTGGCTGTCACGTTTATATCAGTGAAAAGCACAGAGGCTGTGATGGGCTCATTAAGGGAGGAGAGTAGGAGGAAATAAATCAGGGATAACTGGGAGCCAGATCCAACAGGGCCGTGTTTGTCACTGTAAACACTGCGTGAGGCAAGAAGCGTCTGGAGAGTTTTGAGCACAGGGGTGACATGACCCAACTTGTGTTACCAAAGGGACCCTGGCTGCTTTGTTGAGTTGAAGACTATTGAAGTGATGACAGCAGTGGACTGAACCAAGATGGGGATGGTAGAAGTGGTAGAGAGTGACTGGGTTCTGAATATATTTTGAAGGTACAGCTGACAGTATTTGCAGATGAATCATACGTAGGAGAAAAAGAGGGTAGTCCAGTATAATTCTACAGTTAGGATTCATGTTTATGTCTCCTGGGCTTTGAATTTTCCAAGGCAGTGTCTCCTACTACAGGGAATGAATAAGTTGCTGAGAAAAAGAAAGATTCAGCTAAGAATCTGGAACATCTCTTTTTCTGAACCATCTTATTCTCCATTTCAGCTAAGTGCCTGTTTTTTTCCCATGTCCTCAGACACTCATGTTTTGAAATTGGTCCGTGCTTCCAGGAGACCCACAGATTCCTAGACTGAACCAACAGATCCTTATTTATCCAAGATTTTTTTTAGTGCTGGGGGATTATTATTACCTCTTTTTTCCTACTGAAGTCTCTTGGCATGCAGTCTTCTCTACGATCTTGCCCTTCTCTGTCTCTAGGTGTCATCTCTTGCCATGATGTCTCCTGCTACCCTTCAGCCACACCAGACTTCTCAGTTCTTCTGACAGAACAAACTATACCCTGCGTTTTTCACGTATTGTTTTCTTTCTCATCCCTCCCACCTGCGCCTGTCAAAACACACTAATTGGAAGCTCCATAAAGACAAGGACCATATTAATCTTGTTTATCGCTGTATCCCTAACTGTATCCCCACAATGCCACATTTAACATAGGCACTCAATAGATATTTACTGAGTGAATCAATTTATCCTTTAATTCTTGATATCTCTTGATTCTGATTAATTTCCTTAAACTTGGGCCACTTTGCTCTGCCCCTCTATCGCAACCATTCCAGGTTCTTGATTATCTGCTTGGATCTCCTGGTTTGCTCTGAGAACCAGTATTTCTGAGTTGTCCCAGCTCATACTTGTCTGCCAAGCTTCTGCCTTCCTGCTTGTTCAGACCTTGTTCTCTAGGTTTGCCCTGATTCGGACTTGTTTACCTGTTCCTGACCTGTTGCCTCCCCGGACGCCTGCCTGACCCTTAACAACACTGGCTTTTTTCCTTTGCTCAATTTCTCTCCTGTCTCATCTGCCTTTCCTGAAGAACAGTAGAGCAGTAATTCCACATGCCCCAGAAACTCCTTTCTAATCCTTGTGGCACTCAGACTGCCTTCCTGGAATAGGAACGATTAGAGCAGGGATTTGCACACGTATGGAGAATGACACAGTAGGTCAGCTTTCATTTCCACTACATCCTCCAAGGTAATGAGGAAAGGCTGGTTAGTTCATCATTTCTCTGGTCATCTTTCACACTTGCATCTAGCAAGTCATTCTAAGCTTACCTCAATAGAACATAACTTAATGTCTTTTCGTTTCCAAGGAAACCATCTTTATATAATACCTCTTTTTCAAGTTGGATTTTCATGGTTCATTCTCTGTTCTTCACAGTATTTTTAATCACTTACATGTAACTGATTCTTCTATTAATCTATGGAGTTTAACATAGGTTCACGGGAATTTGTCTATAATTCCCTGAATGACTTTTTTGTCAAGACAATGTTTACTCAGACATTGTTTACTCAATTTTACTCAAAATTACTCAGTTTATTTATTATACCAATAAATCCAGCAATAAATAACATTATCATATTTCCTTTCTGCATTTTTCAATGTTAACATACAGGAAGCCTTGGCTCACGCTTTTTGGATTGACATCAAGCGCATGGATGACCCAGAGTGTTACTTTAATTCTTTGCCAAAAGAGTTAGAATTGAAAAGAGATCGGATGGTACATTTACTTGAAAGTATTGGCCTAAAACCCATAGTTCCTGATGGGGGCTACTTCATCATTGCTGATGTGTCTTTGATGGGTTTGTAAACATTTTTATTGTTTCAAATATATGGAAACTTATGTGTGAAATTATATCAGAATTAGGGAGAAAAATTAGTGTCAAAGCCATATAAGCATTTTATCTATGGAAAAATGAATTTTCACAATGTCGATGTTTTTCTACAGTCATCTTGGCTTTTACATCCTTGACCTTAAATGTGACTGTTGTTACATGGTTATGGAGTCAGTTGTTCTGGGTGTTCTTTTAAACATAGAATTTGCTGTCATCTTGTTCTGCTGTGTAATTTAAAACACAGGTACATGAAATAATATATGGACCCTGAGTTCTTTTGAGTAAAATTTTAGTTTCCTTTTTGCTTGAGAAAAATAAGATTTCTAGAATGTTGATGCCTTCAGGGAATATTTTCCATTTTAGATTAGAAGGGGGAGGAAGCAAATATTTCAGTCACCTAGGTTCATAGAGTATTGTAATTAGCATTAACTTGAAACCAAACTTCATGGCAGCAAAGGCAAATAGAAAAATGGAATTAGTTACATAATTCTTAGATAAAAGGAAAAAAGGAAACCTAATAGCTTTTTAGATAAGAATAATTCTTTCCTGGAACCAAATTTTCCAGATAGTAAATTCTAAAAGGAATTTATCACATTGTGACATTAATATCAAAAAGACAGTGATGCCACTTTTGCTAGGATTATTGCATTAGGCTCTTAAATACTTTCCCATTCTATCTTCAGTTGATCCATCCTGCTTGCAATACTATTTTAGGTCTTAGATCTTGAAGTAGTGTGTAATAGTAGGAGCAGAAAGGGTTTTGATTAGAAAAGCTTTGGTGATGATAGGAAAAAAAGATGTCTCTTTTTATCGTCCTCCTTCACCTGTGGGGGAAAAATGTTAATGTCTGTAAGACCCTCCTACATGTGAAGACAAGCTCATTTTATTTTACTCCTTCATCTGCTCAGATTAAGTTGCATATGGCAATTCTTTCATATAGTAGAGGTTGGTCCCACCATTTGCTAAAGACAAACGCAAAAATCCCAATTCTCATTTGATGATAGCTTGAAAATAAAAACAAACCGTAAGATTCATGAACATAGTGATTACTTCCCTTTACAATTCATAGCAATGACTAACTGGTTAATATTTTTTCAGTGTTTATGATATAGCATGTATTATGCTGAGAGTTTTACAAAGATCACATTCTCACAAAAGCCCTATTAGATTGATGCTATGTCCCCATTGATAGATGGGAAAGATGAGATAGAGAGAGAATCAAGAAATTTACTAAAGTTAATCAACTAATATGTAGTGGAACTGGGCTCTGAACCCAGAGATCTATGTCCTAACCAGTGAACTTATCTTTTTTCTCCTGCACTAATCAACTTTCCAGACCAATGAGCTGCATTCTAGAACTAAAAAGGGGAACATCTGAATAGAAGACAAGATGACAAATAAGGAGATTATTATAGATGTTCTAGCGAGAGAATAAGATCCAAAATTATGGAGGAGATAGAGGGAATGCGACAACCAATTTTGACTTTCATAGGTTGCTTAAATATGCTAATGCTATCATAATGTGGCTCAAACTCCTACCTTCATAAAGAAATATTTTGTTTAGTTCCTTTGAGGATCTCTGACTCAAGCATTCAAAAGAAATAGATTCAGACTTTCTTCTAACTATAAAATCTTTATAATTGTGTTTATTCCCTTCTTTCCTTCTGAGCACCATGACAATAAACTCCTCTTTTCTAAGCTTTAAAAGAATAAATGAATTGTATAGCCAGTGTCAATTACAGTTAATATCCTCCTATTCTTCCTTCCACTGCTGTACATAATCACCCTTTCTCTGGGTTCCCCTTGAATACACTACTATTATGTACTTGTCACATGGCATTTTCACGTAATTTACAATTAGACTCTGACTTTTTTAAGTTGTAATTTTTGTTAGAGCCAGACCTGAATTAAAACACATGCATATATATAACTTAAATAGTAATTTAACTTCCTCATCTATAAAGTGAAGATTGTTAATGACCTCTCAGTGTTGTAGGACAAATAAATGAGAGAATCATGTAACATGCTTAACAAATAGTAAGTGCTCAGTAAAGGTAGTAAATTATTAGCATTATTATATGGAAATTTTACATTCTTAAAGCACAAGGGAGAACATAAATAAAATCATTAAGTAAGAACATTTTCAGATGAAAAAATACAGATGAAACTTTCTTCAGCATCAAGGTTTTTATGGTGTTAATATGAAGAGACCCAGTAGTATTTCGTGAATAAAAGAAAGAGGATAACTGCCTCAATTTGTTTTGAGGAATAAATAGTAAAATTTCTTTGATTACACTATCACTGTCAGTTGCTTTGCAACATTCAAAAGGATCTAAGAGTCAATAAAATAGAACAATATTAAATGTAGATTGCTGAAACTGAAGGCCAGAGAAAAAATATCTTGCCCAGACCTTAAAGCAAGATTGGAGCAAGAGATAAGAATAGAAATACATATTTGAAGTTTTTCCCCAAATTAAAAATTTTTTTTAAAAAGCATAATATTTGAAAGAAAGATCTACACAGACATTCTCCTTTTATAAATAATGAATAATATTAATTTATTCATTCAACAAATATAATTTTCATTACTTGTATGCTAGACACTGACATAGGAGTTGGGGATAATGATAGCTTGCGATACAGACACTTTACCCTTGTGGAGCTTACAATCATAATGAATGACTGTTTGGAGATATAATTATTACTGGTGAATATTTTATAAATTTAGGTGTTACTTCCTAAATAATGATCACAGTCTTATATTATTTCTGAATGGAAAGGCAACACTTCTCTTTCCTTCCCCTTTCCTACTGTCTTAAGAGCTAAGAGCTGTATGCACAAGCATCATCAACCAAATGTATCTATGAGTAGTGTCTTATCAGTGAAGCTTACCTGTGAATTCCTCACTTCCCAGCACACCATACAGTATAAGACTCCAGCAGATTCTGTGAATATCTTCTGAGAAAATCTTGAATCTTTATAGACCTAAATGAAATACATATTGCCTCAGATATAATGCATAGGTAGTCTGATTTTCACTGTTGTTTTAGATGCAGACCTCTCTGACATGGAGAACAACAATGAACCTTATGACTATAAATTTGTGAAATGGATGACTAAAAATAAGGTAATGTTTATTGGCCTTTGTGATATTGTGCTGTATTTTGTAGTTAATTTATGAAAGAAACCTGTTCACATGCTTTGAACAATGTTAACTGTAGTTTTGTTGCGTGATATTCCGCTTGTGATTATTTGGAAGATTTTAAAAACATTTTTCTTTTTGGAAACTGTATTGAATATTTAGAAGTATCTGTTTCTAATTTATATGGTCCTAAAATTAATATTTGAAGTGTAAGTAGTTTTCTTATTTTAGCTTTCTATTTATTTTTCAGAAACTGTCAGCCATCCCAGTTTCAGCATTCTGTAATTCAGAGACCAAATTACAGTTTGAGAAGTTTGTGCGATTTTGTTTCATTAAGGTAAGTTCCCTGTTCGACTGAAAAACACGTTTATAATATCCTTCCTTCTGATTTAAAAAGCACAATTTTTTTTCTATTGCTAGACATGATGTGCTCATATGCAGGTTTTAAATTTTGGCTTTGCTGCCATGAAATTACCTGCCTATCAGAACAAAACTCAGCACTCTTTGAGGTGTTGAGTTTATTGGACTACAACATAATCAGTCTTCTTACCGTGTAACATTACAATATCCAGCCTGCAATCAAAAATTACTAGACATCTGAAGACCCAAGAAAATGTGACCTTTACTAAAGGAAAAAAGCAGTCAGTGGAAAGAAACTCAAGGTGACCCAGATGTAGAATTAGCAGACAAGGACTTTAAAGCAGATACTTTACGTATATTCAAGAAATTAAAGGAAAATATAGTCATAGTGAGTGAACAGATTAAAACTAAAAGAGAGAATCAAGGGAGGAAATTCAAGAACTTAAGGTGTGATATCTGATATGAAAAATAAATGGGGCTTAACACACAGAGGATTGAAGATGTTAGGGAAAAAAGGGTCCACTTGAATCCAGATCTGTAGAAATTATTCAATCTGAAAAACAAGAAAAAATTATTTTTGAAAAATGAATAGAGCCTCGGATCTATGAGACAATATCAAGTATAATACACATATAATTGGAGTACCAAAAAAAGAAGAATGTAGTGGAAAAAGTACCTTAAGAAATAATGGCCAAAATTTCCCCATATTTGGTGAAAAGTAACCTAGAGATCTAAAAGTTCAGTGAACTACAACAGGATATAAAGAAAACCACACCTAGATACATCATAATCAAACTACTGAAAACCAAAAGTATCAGTAAGATCTTGAAAGCAGCCAGAGAAAAACTATACGTCACATGCATAGGAGCAACTATATGAGTGTTAGCTAACTTCTTATCAGAAACAGCAGAGACCAGAATACAATGAAATGACATCTTCAAAGTGCTGAAATAAAAAGGTATATCAGCCTAGAATTCTATATCCTGAAAAATATCCTTTAAAGCTGAAAGTGAAATATACATCTCTGATTAATGAGAAAATTCATCACTATCAGATCTGTACTAAAAAGAACTGAATTTATTATTGCTGGTTTTAAGATGTTATTGATACTGAAAACAATCTTGCTGAGATCATGGCACTCTATACCAACATACTCATCTATAAACCTAGACAACATGGTGTAAACACTGTTTTAAACTTTTAGAGACAAACCATGGAAGACTTATCCCGAATAGAATATAGATGTTAATGACCTAACAATGTCAACATTTAGTTGACCAAAATGTAGAAGAAACAGTAAGGCTATTAATATTCTCATCTTACAGTGGATCTAGAAATAGAGGTATAGGTATATTATTTGACATAATAAACAGAACTAATAGAAGAAAAAGTAATGTAAGACTTCCAGTTTTAAAATGATAAATACAACCCTTCCCCCATTTTCTTCTTGGAAATTATTAAAAAATAACTAGGACAGTGGAAAACAAATTCCCCAGTAGATGAGGAAGAGTTGCCAAATACAGTGAAGGTAATGGTAGAAGAAATATGCCTGGAAAGGCTCCTGCTTCTGCGTCTTCACATTGTCGACAGAGCCAGGAGTTAGCCTGTTCTTTATCTACAACAATCGGAACAGTAAGTGCACTGGCAGTGGGAGCTTCTCCAGACCCATTTGGCGTCATGAGAGAGGCAGGGTAGAAACCTATGTGAGGCAGGGTCGAAAGGAGATTCTGTTTGGGCTGTAGATTTGCTCATTCACCCCTGCCATTTTTGCTAAAAGCTGTGTTGAGGCAATGTGAAGAAGTTGTATTAAATTGGAAGTAGTCGATTAAATTAGTTGGGAAGAAACAGAATCTAAAGGAACTCCCCCTCACTGAACTTTACATCAATCATATTAAACTTTACTGTGAGGCAAGGAGAATCTGCTCTCTTCTATTGCCGTCCTGCCTCCTCCCTTATACAGACCTGCAAATACATCTTCAAATCATAGACAAAGCCAGCAGGTAGCATACTCATTACCTAGAACAATGGGAACATTAGATGCACCATCAGTGGGAGCTTACAAAGAGAACTCAATCAAAAATAAGTCATAAAAAGAAATCACCTATGAATTTATAAAGAGATGCTCTGAGGAAAAAAGCTGAAAGGTACAAGGAAAAACAAGTATCAGAGAATATTCAACCAGAAAAATGTTGCCATAGAGCAAATAAAGATTAGGATATTTCAAATTCAAAACCTTTAAAATGAAATTAAAGCAGAGATTTTTAAAGTTCAGGGAAGATAGAGTAAGATAATATAAGAAGATGAAACAGCAGCTCTCAGAGCTCAGGTAAGAAATTGAAGGCACAAAATAAAGATACTGGTAATTGTAGTGACATTGGAAACTGCACAAAGAGTACTAAATACTTCGGTAAACACGTTAAGGATTGAGAAAAGTGAGCAAAGAAAAGTGGGAAGGAACAAAGAATTTAAAAATATTAAAAAGAAAAATTATAGATGCAGAATACAAATGAAATAAGTAGAGGCTGGCCCAGTGGCATAGCAGTTAAGGTGGCACGCTCCACTTTGGTGGCCTGGGGTTCACTGGATCACATCCCGGGTGCAGACCTATGCACCACTTATCAAGCCATGCTGTGGCAGGCATCCCACATATAAAGTAGAGGAAGATGGGCACAAATGTTAGCTCAGGTACATTCTTCCTCAGCAAAAAGAGAAGGATTGGTGGCGGATGTTAGCTCAGGGCTAATCTTCCTCAAAAAGAAAAAAAGAAAGAAAGAAACGTGAAGTCGCTGAAAAACAAAAACAGAACAAATCGGAAAAACAGGAAAGAATTTTATAGCTTTGTTTTGAGAATGCTTTCCATTAAAAAACCAAGCAAACAAATCTAAAAATTGAAAGGGAATGCCTTATCACAGGAAAAATTGTCACGGAATAATTAGCACTGAGCTATACTTTGTTTACTGTTTTGGACTTTAAAGATAAAGAATGATCCTTTGGCATCTAGACAAAAAGATCCGGGCCTCCAGGGGGCAGAAGAGGATCAGTGTGAACCCAGATCCTTTGCGTCAACATTCACTGTTGGAAGATAGAGCAATACCGAGAAGTCCCCAGGGAAAGTTGGCACACCTAACTCAACCTCTTGGAGAGGCTAGAAATAAAAGGATGGCAAAACATACCAAGAAAATGGAAATCGAAAGAAAGGAAGTTGAATTTAGGGCAAAATAAGCCAAAAGGCAGCACTTTACATTGGTTATGGGTAAAATCCTGAGTAGCTGTCAATACATGAAAGGCTCCTCCACTTCACTCGTAAGAAGAGAAATGCAAACCTGCATTGAGATTGTATATTATCCATTAGATTGGAAATCACCAAAATAACCAAAAAGTTCTGTATGGCACTCACATAGATGAGAGTGGGAGTAGAATTTGTAAAATCTCTGTAGTGGTTAGTTTGAAAATTTCCATCCAAATGTAAATGCACAAACACACCCTTTGACTCAACAATTCTACTTCTAGGATGCTTTTGTCTGTGGATTGACTTGTATTCAAGGATTTTAAGTGAATCTTTGTTTGTAATGTCAAAGGATTATAAACAACCGAAATGTTCACCGGGGAGGGCTGCTTGAATAAACTGTGGTACCTTCACATCGATAAAAGAATGAAGCAGCTCTCCAGGTAGCGATAAAGCATAAGCTTACAGCAAGGAGCAGAACAGTTGGTATGGAACTCTGTCATTTGTGTGAGAAGGAAAAGGAAGGAAGGGAGCGAGGGAGGAAGACAGTTGTTTTTGAAGGCCTGAACTGTCTCTGGAAGGATATGTGATAAAATCCCAGCGTTGCCTCAGGAGAACTGAGTGAGGAAGAGTAGCAACAGATGTTAGCTCAGGGCGAATCTTCCTCACAAAAAGAAAAACTTTTAAAGTACTCTCAATATATATGGTTCAAGAACTTTTTTTCTGAAACATTTTAGAGCAAATTGTTGACTTAATTACTGATGATGCCTCTATCACCCCCAAATGCTTTAATGTATATTCCCCGTAAATAAAAACATTCTCCTACAAAACCACAATATAACCATCAAATCGTGAGTTAACATTGCTGTATCATTCTATCTAATCCTCAGATCCAACCCAATTCAGATTTCAACTAATTGTCCCAATAATGTCCTTTTTATAATAAATAAATAAATCCAGGCCAGAGTTGTGTCAATCAATCATCAATCAATCTAGGCCAGAATCATGCGTTGCATTTGGTTGTCATGTCTCCTTCAAGCTGGAATGGTTCCTCAGTTTTCTTTGACTTTTTTTCTTTTTTTGAGGAAGATTAGCCCTAAGCTAACATCCACCAGCAATCCTCTTTTTCCTGAGGAAGAATGTCTGTGAGCTGACATCCCTGCCCGTCTTCCTCTACTTTATATGTGGGACACCTGCCACAGCATGGCTTGATAAGCAGTGCGTAGGTCCGCATCCAGGATCTGAACCGGCGAACCCTGGGCCACAAAACAGAGTGCATAAACCTAACCACTATGCCACTGGGCCGGCCCCTTTGACTTTTATGACCTTGATACTTTCGAAAATTATTGGCCAATTATTTTGAAGAAAGTCCCTCAACGTTTGTTTTTCCTCATGATTACTTTCAGGTTGTGCACCTTTGGCAGGAAACCATGCTACTGATGCTATGTTCATTTTGTTGCATTCTATCAAGAAGCACATGATTTTAGTTTTTCCTATTACTGATGATGTCAACTTTAATCACCTGATTAAGGTGGTGTCTGCCAGGCTTCTCTACTGTAAACTTCCACTTTTTCCCTTGATAAATAATCAATATTTTGTGATGAGGTACTTTGAAACTGTGAAAATATTCTGTATCTCATTAGGCAATTTATTCATTTATTGATTGATATATGTAAAGATTTATGGATTCCTGTTTTATTCAGTGGGTTATAATTTATTGTTCTTATTACTTACTTTGATGCTCAGGTTTTCCCAGATTTGACCATGAGGAGCCCCTTCAGGCCGGCCTTTGTTTCCTTTGACATGTTCCATCATCTTGAGCATTTCCTTACTTACTGGCATAGCAAGGTGCACCAGGTTCTTCTTGTCATTATCTACCCCGATCATGAGTAACTTTTACTGGAGAATGGTATTTACAAACCAAGATCTGGGCATTAGGAGTGCTCATTGCTATTGGGGTATTGGTGCTCCCAAGCCCTCCCAGTGGACAGAGATAGGGAATATATGAAAGTATATACATACCTACACACGCATCTATACATAAATACACATATTTACACATGCATTTATTTCTATGTCTGTCTAACTATATTAAAACCACCACAGGGTTTATTCTAGCTTTTTCCCTTTCCGTATTTGTAACACCCTTCTTTGACAGTGAAAACCCTGGCTGTCATCATGTAATCATTTCTTTAATCAGTACCTTGGTATGTGACCAGTCTTGTGTCAATGCCACTGCTCCTCCATCCACCACCCCGACGGGCACCCTTTACCCTACTCAGGCTTTGATACTTTGTACCAGGCTGCTGCTGCCATCACCCTCCTGCTGCAGAGCTGCCCTCCTCTAACTCTCCAACATCACACACCAAGCCACCCCTGTCACCCACTGGATAGAAGCCCTGACCTGTCATGGGCTCTGACACCCCATGCCAGTCTGCCTTGGCAGATGCCTGCCTCACCCCATCCAGGCTCCAACACCCTGCCATACAGATGGCTTGCTTACCCTGCGTGGACTTTGATATGCTGTTCCTGGTAAGCACCACCACTGCCATCATCTCCACCTCGTGCCACGCACATTGGAAACCCTCCTCACTCCACTCTGACTCTGACGTCCTGTACCAGGCTGCCAAGGCTTCCCCTGCCCCCGGACATGGGCACCTACGTCACTCAGCTGCGCCCAATGGCTTTTGGACTAAATAATTCTGTAGAGAAGGAAGAGAAAGGAAAAGGAGAAATAGAGAAAGTAGAAGAGGAAGAACAGGAGGCTTGATTTTCACTATTTACCCATCAATTTAATTGTATACCATATGCAGGTATTACCTATTCAAAAAATAAATTAATTTTATCAGTAATTGTAACTATGCAACTTTGATGGGAGGGAACAGAGTAGTGTGAATGCACTAATTTTTCCTTATTCAGAGCAGAGAATGGTGAATATTGTCTAAAGTTGATAAGTAAGGAAATAGAAACATATGCATTATTTAGATATTAGTGGTAAGCGCTAGAACTAAAACTAGAAATTGCCATGAAAGTTTGCCTTGGGGGATGGCGGGCGTAACAGGAAGGCTGAGGAGGGGAGGAGCAGACAATTATTTTTCAGTGTAAGTTCTGCTGCAGTTTGACTTGTTTCTGCAGTTACGGTAGTCCTCCTTATCCACAGATTCACTTGCCATGGTTTCAGTTACCCACTATCACCCTTGGCCCAAAGAATATTAAATGAAAAATTCCTGAAATAAACAATTTATAAGTTTTAAGTTTTGTGCCATTCTGAGCAGTGTGATGAAATCTCTCCATCCCTCCCAGGGCCTGAATCATCCCTTTGTCCAGCAGATCCACGCTGCATATGCTACCCGCCAGATAGTCGCTCAGTAACTGTCTTGGTTATCAGATTAACTGGTGGTATTGCGATGCTTGTGTTTAAGTAACCCTTATTTTACTTAATAATGGACCCAAAGCCAACTTTATTATTAGTTGTTGCTAATCTCTCACTAGGCCTAATTTATAAATTAAACTTTATCATAGGTATGCATGTATAGGAAAAAGCATGTTATGTATAGGATTCAATACTATCTACAGTTGCAGGCATCCACTGGGGGTCTTGGAATGTGTCCCGTGAGATAAGGCAAGACTACTGCATATATTACTGTGATTGTTTTCCTTTTGGGAGTCTCCCTTTGCATTCTTACTTTGAAAAATTCTCTTCACTTGAGATCAGATATTCACTTAAATCTTCATTTAGTTATTACGTTCTATTTTTTCTACTCTCCTCAAATCTATCTTCATTAAAGGGAACAAATTATTAGAGTACTATCCAAAACTTAATGAATGATGGCTGTAATTTGCTCAACTTGCCTATTTTCAATTAAGCAAATGCCAGTTAACAGTACCATTCACCACAGTTGTGTCAGAAAGAATCATCTCCATATCTACAAACATTATTTTAGCAGAAGACAGGCTTTGCAGATTTCAGTGATTTTACTGAACTAGCATTTTCAGTAAACTTTTTCTGAGCAGCAAGGTATAGGGATTCTTTCAGAAATCTTGGAATTGTATATCAACGTGGGCCATAGACATAGTCAATAAATGTCATACAATTTGTCAAATGAAAAAGATTTCCCCAGTACAAATTCCTTTCCTAAAGACATTCAAACACCCTGGCACGAGATTGAGTCTCAGTCCTACAATCTCACGAGATTATAGCTGGCCTGCTTGAGGGTGTCAGGTCATGTGCAAAAGGGGGTGAGGTGAGAGGCAAGAAAGCAAAGTAAATCACTTTTGATTTATATTGAAGGAGAACTTTAAAGGGATCCACTGCCTAGAGACCTTTCTACATGTGCACCTCTCGTCTGAAAGCTTTCACAGATAGCAGTGACCACAGCAGCTGTGAACCATTAAAAACATGGAGTTTATTCCTCCATTCTCGCTACACCTGGCATCCTCTATGTGTTGCAAGATAAGGGAGGGGTTTTCTTTTGTTGTCTAGAAGCCTCTTTGAAGGAAGTCAGTGATTTTGCACACTCATACCCAAATGGATGAAAATAATAAATATCAATCCCATCAACACATCCTTCAGGCTGTCTGCCACATTAGTGTCATTCATGAGTGTGGGTCATCTTTGGCACTGGGGACCGCCTGGGCTGCCACAAGTGGTTATGAATAATGAGAGCATCCACACTGATGGACATGGTTTTTGCTGGGATCAGGTTAAACCGTTTTCAGTCTGAGCTGTAAACTCAGACTGAAACTGTAAACTGTGTTTATACAGTTTGTCAGTCATTTTCTTGGTGATGCTCTTTGGTCCCATGCTGGTTAATCTGTATGTTTCTTCAGTGTCAGGAGAGGAGCAGTAAAGAACAGTGATTGGCCTCACACTTCCTAGCTCCTCTAATACTGAATTCTTGTGAAATTCATTCACTTTTCCAGCCAGATGGCAATGGGATATAGCATTATAAATAATTGGATTGATTGATTTGCCTCTGGACTTCTTAAAGCACTTGGGACCTGTGTCCTAGACCCCTGAGGTGAGGGAAGATGCTGCAGACACCATTTCCCAGTCTCTGTCCATGCCCCTGCTGGGTTTCCCACTTAATGTAGGCAAGGCGCCAGTGACTTGAGTCGCTGGGAAGATGTGCCCCTTGAATGAGTGCTCTTGGGCTCTGTCATCACTGCGGAGGCCAAGGACAGGCTGGGGCCTGACCCAGCCCGGCTCAGGTTATCAAGGGTCGAGGAGCACTTGGTTCCTAAATCACTGCACCACTCTTCCCGAGAGACTGAGTTTGTTGTATTTTTGATATTTAAATTTTACTTCATCTTGAATTTATTTTGAAATGTAACGATGATTATTTCATTTATTTACAGAAAGACAGTACACTGGATGCTGCTGAAGAAATCTTCAAGGCATGGAGTAGACAGAAGTCTTGATATGTGCAGACTGTGTTGTTTTCTCTTAGATGACCTATTAGTATGCAATTGTTATTTAGTGCTGCCACCTGCTGGATAGTGAAGAATAAATGTTTCTTTTTTTTTTTTTTAGATATTCTGCATCAGTAATTTTAATAAAGAAAAATGTGCTGCTAAGAAAAAAAATAACTGAGCTGGCTGATGTGTAGTCCTTTTAAACAAAGCAAGATGCTCTCTGGCTGAGGGCGAGCACTGCAATGGTCAGGGGCGCCCGGTCTGGAGGGCAGCGCAGTGACTCTCCGTTTGTTGGCAGAGATACGCCTTGTTCTTGTTTCTTTTTAGGAGGGATATATCCACTGACACGAGAGGCCAAACTCCGCTTTTCTCGAGTAGGTTTTACTTTGAGCTTCATTTTCTTGTCAGGGTCATGTGCGACGGCATGCCTAGTGAGACTTTGCTTCATTGCAAACGTCTTGCCACAGCCAGCATGTTCACGTGTAAACGGGCACCTTTCCTCATGAAAAGAGAGAATATGGCTCTGGAGATTAGACACGGTTGTGTAGGTTCTATCACAGCCTTCTCTTGGACATCGACACACATCCCACTCCGGGGCATCAGTTTTCTTATGTTGCTTCAGATAATCTTTGCGTTTAAATGTTTTCTGGCATACTTCACATCTTATCTCCCCTTGATGGGCTTCTCTCACATGTTTCAGAAGCTCTGTCCATGTTTTTGCCACGAAGGAACATTCTTTTTGACATATATAACCCTCGTGGACCTTCCCCTGCCGTTTCAGCCCACGGGGAGAAGCGAAGTGCTTTCCACATCCTTCATGGGTACACTTAAACAGTGGTCCGTTGGTGTGCTGGCACTGATGGATGTTCAGCTGCTGCTGTTTCCTAAAGGTCTTCTCACAACCTTCAAAACTGCATACATACTGTTTCTGCGGATTTTCATGTTTGCGTTCAAAATGTTTCCTCAAGTTTGACTTTGTGTTGAATTTTTGATCACAGCCACTAGCTGCACAAACAAATGGCTTTTCTCCAGTGTGAATCAGGATGTGGCGGCTCAGACGGTAGTCCCTGACAAAGGCTTTGCCACACCCTTCACGGTCACAGACAAATGGTCTCTCCCCCGTGTGCTTGCACAGGTGCGCTTCGAGCTTCCAGGCCTTGTTGTAACTGGCGCTGCAGTCGGGGAAGGAGCAGATGAACCTCCTGGGGAGCGCGGGGGCCGCCGCCGCGGGGCTCTCGCCGGCCCGCGGTGAACGCGTCGACGATGGTCGGGGATGACACCGCCTCGACAACCGAGGCCAACCGAGGCCGGCGGCTCCAGGGTGCTGGGGGCCGGGTGCGCAGCCACGTGCGCCAAACGGCTGCGCGCGGCTGATGCCCGGCCCGGCGGCAACCCCTCCAGGCGGACCGCATGCCAGAATAAATGTTTCTGAACAAGTGAAATTTAAAGAAATATTTCCATTATTTTCCCAAAGAATTAACCCCAGTCCTAACAATATTCAGGAGATCTTGTGTTTGTTTGTTTCAGTTGAAATGTATTAAAACACCTGCCACTGTTACTTTATGACAGGTAATGTAGCATTTGTGGATAAGAACTGTGAGATGCTTCTTGATAGTTAACTTCTCTGTGCTTTAGTTTCCTCATCATAAAAAGGAGATAAAAAATAGCACCTACTTTATGTGAAATTTGTGAGTTGTGGTTTGTGAAGGTGAAGTGGACTGATGTGTGTAAAGCCTCGCAAACAGTAAACACTCAACTAACATTAGCCAGTTTCACTTCTCAGCCATTGTGTAAAACTCTTAGCCAGTAACACCCGCCTTTGCCCCACATCTTTGTTTTGTCTGCCCGCCTGCAGTTCCCTCGCCTTCATTTACCAATGACTTTGAACTTTGCTCACAGTTTTGCCTCTGTCCAAGTGCTGCCATCATCTGGGCTGGCTTTAAGCTCCACTTGGATTATCTAGGCTTTCGGTACTTTGATCTCCTCACCTGTGGTGACATTCACCTCCACTTCAGCCACCCACTCTCTTGGGCACACCCTGAGCCTTTCATCATTCGAGGCTGTTCCACCTTTGAGATAATAAATTAGTCACCTCACACTGTAACCATGATGCGGGGTCGGTGAGCCGAGGAGTCAAAAGAAAGATTTCTTAGACTCTCAAGATCTGGTAGTAGTGCTTTTTATTTAGAGAATAGTGTGGAATAGCATGGGGACAGGACCCATGAGCAGTCAGAGCTTCTGCTGCCCTGAGTTGACGGTTAGGGCTAATTTTATAAGGCATGGGTACGTGACTTATTTTTACTGGAAAAAAGAAAAGATGATGTAAAAGTCATTAAATGATTTCAGTGCAGATGGGGTCTGGTTATTGTGCGGTCATATAACTTTAGATACGAATCTGGCCATATAGATCGGCATGCAGTTGAGGATGCCCCGGGCTTCTCTCCCTGGGGCAGTCCTAATTCATACCATAAAAAAAGTCCACTGGGTCATATAGTTTGGCATGTAGGCCAGGTCACCTTGGGCTTCTCTAGCTGGGGCAGCCTTAATCCACATCACTTACAGTATTCTCTCTCTCAGCTCCTCTCAAAAATCACTTCTTTAAACTCACTATAACTTAAAATCCACTATTTGTCCAAAAAAATGGTCCATGGCTTTCTTACATCAGAATCAACCAGGATCCTTGTTGAAGATATTCTGGTCTTCACCCAGACACACTGAATAATAATTTTAGGATCTGGCCCTTCCCAGGTGGTTCTTATACCCACTAAATTTGATAAGCACTGCTGTAATCCATAGAACCCTCGATTTTATTCCTATTGGTCCCTTTACGTCTTCACTCCCTTCCTCATCCAGCTTAGATTCAATCATCGATCACTTCAACCAAGATACTTTTCTGCCTTGAACAACTTGCCCATTGTTCTATCTCACCTGCCTGGTCAAAAAAAGAGAACTCAACCCTGGGGTTGCAGCTCCATGCTGGCACCTGGGCTGCTGGGCACTGCTGTAGCAAAATGCACAATTGGGCAGGTTCTGACAGCCATGAATGCACATCATTGACCTTAACTCAATTCTTCTGTGATACCCTAACGACCTTTCTCTACCTTTTACCTCAGCAGCAATCCCTAAGATTCTCCCATTCTCCACAATAAAAATATCCAAACTTCTCCGTTCTCCTCACACCTCAAAGCCCACCACTGCCACCCAATTAATTCTTAGAAAATGACCTCATCTCCCGCTTCTGTGAAAAACAAAACAAAATAAAAAACAAACTACCAGAACAGCACTCCCAACTGGGATCTTCCCAATACTCCTATGACTTCACTGCATCAACATCCATCCTTTCTTCATTTCCTCTTGGGATTGGGGGGCAGAGTGGGGAGGATGGTGGGCAGACAGAACCAGAGCCAGCCATGCAGAAGGAGGCCCAGGACCTCAGGAGCCAACTATTGCATAGCAATATAAATCCCATGTATGATTTTTAGCCTGTCTGCTCTTGCTGGAGACTTGATAAAATTTTCACCAGGGTGTAAGTCTGCTCTTTGCAGCCACAGCCTTGTCCGGTACTAATCCTACCACCTGTGCTCTAGATCCCATTTCTTCTCATATTCTCAAGGGCTTGGTTCAGTCCATTTGCTTGTATCTTCAGCCTCTACTGGCTCCCTTCCTCAGTGAGACGTGTTCAGGTTTCTTCCTTCCATCTTCCCTCCCTCCTTCCTTCCTTCATTTCTCCCTTTAACAAATATTCATTGAATTCCTATTATATGCCAGACACTATCCTAGGCACTTAGGATATATCAGTCAACAAATAAAGATCCCTGCCTTCCAGGGCTTTCCTTCTGACCCCCAGGGGAGTGAGACTACATCATAAACATAATGAGATATATTGTATGTTAAACTTATACATGATAATTGTATGAAGAAAAGAAGTAGAGCGGGATAGAGAGGAATGAGAGTGTTAGGGAGCACATTGGAATTTTAAACACTTGGCCAGGGTAGGTCTCATGGAGGGGGCATAGAAGCAGACTTAGAGGAGGGGAGGGAGAAAGCCGTGCAAAGATCCCAGAGAGGAAGATTCTAGAGAGAAGGAACGGCCAGTGCAAAGGCTCTATGACAGGAGAGTGCCTGGCATGTTTGATGATACCAAGAGTCTGGGATGGCTGGATGGAATAACCAAAGGACAGAGTAGTAGGTATTAGATCAGAGAAGTAACATAGGACCTCAAGGACTAGTGTAAGAATTATGGTTTAATCCAGAGGATCAGGGTGCCACTCCATCCATACTTTTTTTAAATATGTAAAATAATGTTTATTGCAGCATTGTTTATAATTACTCCAAACTGGGAACAACCAAAATGTCCAACAACAGTCTAATATTTGGGGGTATATTCATACAATAGAATAGCATACAGCAATGAAAATTCGAGAAATACAGCCACACACGTAACGTGAATGAACTTCATCAACATTTTTCATAGGGTTTCCTCACAGTATCTTCAAAGAATAAGCTGGAGTTCTTAGTCAGCAGAGTGTTCTATAATACTAGAATCTGATACTGTGATCATTGAAGCCTCACATGCCAGCCCCAATCTTGGGGGTCCTGGAATTTCTGTGCCCACTGGAGTAAGGGCTTCCATGTTTTGGTCCAACAGTCAGGTCTAGGACTGGTCCATAGTGAACTCCATTTCTGAGTGATCCAAGGGACAGAAGTTACCATCCTTTCCACTTGGCTGGGATGAGGAGAGCTGACCTGGGGAGGAGCAAGGTATGGATTTTAAATATAGGGTGTGGGTGAACAGTGCAATATTGGACCAAGGAAAATTTTAAAGTCTGGCTTAACGTCCCTGTGACTTTGGAGACCAAGGCCAGACCTGGGGCTTCCAGACGCCTAACTAGACATCCAGGCCTAATTGTTAAAGACTGTAATTGCTACAATGCAAAATGCAAAGGGGTTGAACAGAGGAGTCTGCAAGAACCTGAGAATCGCAGAACAATAGCATCAGCATCAGCTCTGGCTGACAGGCCCCACTAGCACCCAGCTCCTTGTCTTCAACTAGTTCCCCTGGTGAGCACTGTTGTTGCTGCTGCTGCTTAAAGTATTTCGCCCCTCAATTTGCA